GATCTTGGAGGAAAGCGAGTGCAGCAAGAGCTTGTAATAATCCATTATGTTACTGATAAACCTTTAAAACAATTAAGAGATCAGCTATGCTTTAAATGGATAACAGTTACTGTTCTTTTGTCATTGTAATCTTCAATTGAAAGGATTTTATTATTTGAATAATCACAGGTGTCCTGCATAACTCATCACTGATGATTATAATATATAGTCCAATCATTATCATTAGACTAAGGGCTTGTGTCTGCCTGCTTACAGGTAGCTCATCCGATTTGAAATCTAGGGATCACTGGTTTAGTCCTTGAATTAGGCTTAATTTGAAATCAAGGGATCACTGGTTTAGTCCTTGAATTAGGCTTAATTTGAAATCTAGGGATCACTGGTTTAGTCTTTGAATTAGGCTTAATTTGAAATCTAGGGATCACTGGTTTAGTCCTTGAATTAGGCTTAATTTGAAATCTAGGGATCACTGGTTTAGTCCTTGAATTAGGCTTAATTTCTCTGTGACAATTGATCTTGGACATTTAGTCTAATAGTCATTAATTTTGTCTCTCACTTATTATGACATCATTGTTATGACGTCATTGATCATTTTATCCATAATCTTGTACGAATAAAGCCATATAAGCAAATAAAGGACCAAGTGTGGACCTCCATGAAGGCCTTTTAGAGGTTACAAGTCCTGTCACATGGCAAGGAGGTAATAAAGACATTGACGTCTAACAAAAGAATAAAACATATGTTGACTAGGCATAATGATATCAAATACTAATAAAATGGTTCGGTTCTAATAAAAATGTTTGTACCAAACAAGTTGTGCAATCGACGTTTGTAACATCATAGAAATTCACATTTAGTGGCCATTAACCTTCCTCCGTTCCTCGGATTGTGCGCATGTTGTCATTGTAACCTTGTTTTAAATAAGATTTACATGTAAATGCTACATTATTCTCTTTGATATCGTGAATTATTTGTACTCTTAACTTGTTTACTTACATATTCTATCGGCCCATTAATTACGTAGTGAGGAAATTAAGTTGTATTGTGTTAATGTCAAACATACAGATGATTCTTAACTGCATACTGTACATATGTTTCTGTACAGTGCACACAAGTTAATGTGACATGATTTACTATCAAACATTTCTTCAAAACTTATTGCACATGTTTAAATACTGTTGACATCATTCAATGTTGTTGTTTTTTGCTTTTTTTTTTCTCTTTTTTTTTTCGCTTCAAATTTTTTCTTGACTTCTTTACAGAGGAATTTTAATAATTATATTTTAAGGATATACATTACAGACACATCTTACTGAATTTGTTTTAGGTTCTTTTTTATGAAGAAGTGCTGATTTTTTCTAAAACTTTCTAAAATCAATAAAGCTTGGTAAACATAAGCTATGTTTGACTTCTATGAGATTACTAATTTTTGTCTTGAAAACATGTTACATTGTTGACAAAACAGGACTGGTAAAAGTAGGTAATGCAATAGAGAATAATAACTGTCATTCACTGGAAGAATTCCAGCTTTTTTGCTATTCCCACCAGCTTTAAGACATCAAGAGTTTTGGAATATTAAATGATGAAAGATACCAATAATACATAAGGTGTTCAAATTGTCCCTGAGCTTACTGATTCACATCTTGTTTTTGACATGGTTGTATTTGTACATGACTGAAAATTGGTAGAGTTTCATTACCTGAATAATCATCAGATGAAAAGCTTATTTGGTCACCTACATAGTTAATATAAAATTTGACGCCAAACATTCTTGACTCATTCAGTACAAGCAGCAATAAAGATGGGCATAATGCCACCAGTATAAAGTGCAACCAGCTAGACCTGTTTGCAGGTACTTGCAGAGTGACCTGATGCACTGTACTGGTGGCTGTTTAAAGATCGAAAACCATTATCCCAAACGTTCCACCATGTTGCAGCCCTTAGTGCAGACCAAGATCAGCTTGTATAATACCTTGCAGTCTGATCATGGTCTGCACCATTTGCTGTTCAGTCAGTACATGAACTTATGAACGGTTTTGTCCAAATTGAATGCTCAACAAGACGATTTCAGAAATTTAGCACATGGTAAGGGTTAAAGAGACAATAAGGACATCTCGGATTAGAGCAGGGCAAGTCTATTGTACTTTGAGGTAACCTTACAGCAGTGTAAGGTGAAAGTTTTTAACTTATAAAAATTTACATAGTCATTTAAACTGCTGACAAAATAGTAAATCCTCCTTTTCCCCTTACTAGGTAATTAAAGTCAGATACTGCCTCACTTTGCAATGAAGTTTTACGGTCTCCAGAGCATTGTTTTTTATTTTCCAGATACATTAGCTATGCATGGAGAACTTACGCCACTGAATCATTCTGACGTTTAAATCTCTGACGTGTAAAATCCTGGGAAACAACATATGACAAGGGCCTTGTAAAACGCCCACCATGTCTCCGACATTGTTGACATAATCATTGGGAGTAATTTACGCGTAAAAACAATAGTAGCCCAGTGAAAACCGTAATTAAACGTAAAATGTTATTGTCGGAAGGGTTAAAAATACATAATATGATTCTACATTAATTACTCATTGACATTAAAATTTTCATGAATTAATTTAGGTTAATTATGAACGGTTACTCATTGAATTGTTATGATGTTTAATGAAGTTTGCCCACGTGGCTAATTGAAAAGCGGTCTAGTTACCCAAACAGGACATTTATTGTATATAAAAATGAACAACAAAAAAAACATTATTACGCACGCTTGTCTTTTTTTATAATTGGTTGATGATAATTGTGATTGAACTGTCATCCATCAAATATAAAAACAAAAACAGAAAATTTACAGTTAATTCGTGATTGTTACGGATGTATGAATCTTTTGTTTAAAGTCTTGGAATATTGTCATGTTACAGAAAATAAACAAAATCACTGTATCCTTACTTGCGAGCTATACAATTCATTGTGCACCATGTCTTGCGATTATAAGCAAATGTTACTTCTGATCACTGTACCTTATTTTGAAGCGTATATATTTTAACTTGAACCTTTCTTGCAATAACAGGAAGTAGATTTGTTTAAATTCTGTGAATTGCTTTTAAATTCTTAGAAAACAGACTAATACAGAGTCAAATTTCTTTCACATTTATTAACCAATGTTACACATGCTAGATTTGTGGTCACACTGTTGCCATTTGGTTACTTCATAATTACAAAAATGTATATGATACATCCATTTGTTCTTAATTTTAAAAAAAAACTTGTCTCTGGTTTTACAATTTAACTTAAAGGAAATTGTGTAAACATGAAAGAGTATTGTGTTGGTAGAAACCTAAAGTACGGTATTCTGAAAACTTATTTATATACTGTTACTCGGTTATCCAACAAGGTAAAAATATGCTTACACAATGATGAACTGTTTTCTTACCATCTTGGTCTAAGGAAAGCATTTAAAAGAATTGTACCTGAAGAAAAAGCAAAAGCCTCCAATAAAGAAAGTCTTTTGTCCCCAAACAATCCCCAACCCCCGCCACTGTATTGTACATTAAGCATGCATGGTGATTGTCAAAGGTTCTGCTGTATGATTAGAAGTTTCATTTGCATTCACATAGTGTGTTTTCTCATTTCACAGTTTTTAATGATCATTCTTTCAGATTTATCTTTCAGCAAAACCATTATATAAAGATATGTATGTTGTTGTTTTTATTGATAGATTAGTTAATGGTAAATTATTTCATTAGTGAATCACTGTGTATAAACACATTGAATTATTGTTAAAATGTTATATGTTTTGATCATTATAGGGATTCATAGCCTTAAGTGGTTATTAGGTGGTTTACTTCAAACTACTTGCTCTAACTGCTTAAGTTTGAATCCTGCCAGGGACTTCGGGTTCTTTCATGTAAGGTACCTTAAGGAACATTAGTGGTTTTACTCAGGTGCCCACTCATACCTGAAATAATGCACACAGAGTCTTCCTCAACCAGAAAACCTGCACAGTATGAGTTTTACTATGTTGGTGTGACTTCAAAAAATCAAGGTCATTTTTAAAAAAAATTATGCCCACAATTGGTTTTGATTCGAGTGGAACATGGGGGCGTCCATTTTATTTCAGTTGATTATAATTGAAATGCTGACATTGTTTATGAATCATGTTTGTTGCTCAAAATAGAAAGTATTTTTTTTTGCATAAATCATTGGAATTAATCAGGGGAGACTAATTGTCTGATATAAATCAAAATATTATAAAACAAGTCTGATATCTTATTTGGCAGGTTTGTGTTTTATGTGAACAAAATAATAAGGAGAAAAGTAAAATTGCTACTGATTTATTCATTGTGGTAAAATTTGAGAGTTTTCGAATGACTTAACACTTATTTCTAGAGAGAAAAAAATGGTTAATTGAATTGTACTTTGGAGGATAATGGTTTTTGTTTACAACAATATCCTGTTTCCTACATTGTAAGGCATTAAATTATTTTATAAATATTTGATAGATAGCTATTGAATACAAGTTATGAACAATTAGCAGTTAATTGTGTTGTTTCCATAAAAAGATCAGATATTTTGATATCTCATGTTTCATATTTATATAATATTTAACTGTTTCCGTAACTGGACCATCGTGATAATGTTTTGACAGTAGTAAGACCTGTTATAGTTCAGAAATCAATTTCAAAAAGATCAGCATGACCTTTTGCCTGCTTTTAATTATTTTTTAATTTTGTTTGTGAAACACGTTATATGCAGTAAAACTGTAAGAAGACGCTTCATGTGCACACATTGTTTCTGGTTTTGTTTTACTTACGTACAGCTCAATTAGGAAAATTAGTGACACAGCAGTCAAGTTGATTATTACAGTGTTATTCGTTACCACATTGTGCATGTTATTACTAGTCCCATCGACTTTAACTGAAGCTCACAGTTCTAACACTGTTTAATTCAATTGCAAATCTAGTGTTATTTCTGTTAAAATTGATTCTTTAAGACTCGTTTTTCCATTTCAGGAGGTGGTTATAAACTTTTGTGTACAGAAAAGATGAAACGTTACTATCACATTATCATAGACAAACAGTAAAAGGTATATAACTGAAACTGGACTTTTTTAACCTTATATGTATACATGTATCCTATTAAATATACAGGGATATGAGAAAAAAATATGTAAATACAATTCATAAGGACATATGAAAAATATGTAAATACATTTTATACATTGCCGACAGCCGTCGTTCAGAGTGCACGATCCAGGAAATTTATCAAAAATGGTAATTTTATAGTGTAATAAATGGCCTTCAAATTTTAATGGTCTAATTTATCAGAATACTTACATTTTACATAAAAATATGAGAAAGTATGCAAATGTGACGTAAACATATATAATGAAGTGTCATGTTTTATATTCATATTATATATGTAATGTATAAGAGAATAGCTACGAAACCAGATACGCATATTATAACGGAAGAAGATAATGAGTAAATTTACGCTCTTATTAAGCTTGGCTTATTTCTAAAGCAATCATGTACTACAAGCTTAAGTAAAATAATCTTAATGGAATGGGGGTCCTTCCTTTAAAACTTAAATATTAAGTAGCATTAGATATTATTGAATAAAGTTTGTTTTTTTACCACATGGATATGTTTGGCACGAAAGGATGGTCATTTAATGGAGACTATGGACCTGCCACTGAAGCTTAAGCTTGTCATGGGTGCAGTCACTGACTAATAGAAATTTTGTCCCTTGCTAAGTTTGATCCTCATATGAAATTTGTGTAGATCAGCAGAATTATGGCAAGTTGGTGTTTCTAAAAAGGTGTCCTCTTTGTACAGGTAGAGCCAGATTTTAAATGTTTTAAATTGGTGCAAAGATCTTAGACTGATGACTTTATACCTAAATTTGTTTTTTATGGGATATATTAACTTTACAGTGATTAATGTCATCTTGACTCGGTCATTCCTGACTTCACCTAAGCCTGTCTGTGGCACAGATTCAGCCCATGCAATCAGTGCAAACCAAGATCAGCCGCTACCATCACTGCTGTTTGATCCTGTCTACACCAGTTGCATGTATAGACCAGGCTAAAGGTTAATGCATCAGTGTACACAAAATTTACTTAAAAATAAACCTTCAAAGCAAACAATAAACTCTGGAAAAAACATTTAAACTTCTATGGTTTTGTTTGGTTAATGTAAATAAGAATAAAGCCATTCATACCTGAATTAAAATCTTTACTTAACTATATTTGTAAATAATGTCATATTATATAAAGTAGGCAGTTTTCGGCCTGTTATGTGAATTAACCTAATTTTACGTGTTTTAAGTCCATATTTATTATTGCAATAATTCAAAACAATGACGTCACTTTCAAAGCTTGCATTAGTAATAGCCTTAAAAGGTGGGTATATAGCGCCGCCAACTCGTGTATTACTAATGCTATCCATTTGTTTGTCATGAAAATTATTATTATAAAATACGACCTTATATTATATTCCTACTAAATTTGTATGCGTCATCATAATAAGCACCAAATGATATTTAAGTTTTTGGCAAACTTTATGGGGACCGATGTATTTACTTTTACTGTGCTCGAGTGCCAAAACAATACATGTCGAGTACATTTTAAAATGTTTATTGTCTATAAAAAGGAATGTCGAATAAAATATGTTAATATAGAAACTTTCAATATTTAATTTGTAGCAAGTAAATTACTTTTAAACAATTGCTAGTGCAAATAAAGTCTACAAACAATGTTTATGACTTAAGGATAGTATTTCAATGAATTGATCTAACTTAAATTCTTTTTCTGACAATATGCTGGTAATAATCCCCTGACAACAAACTATTTAAACGCTGATTTTAATAAAAATCCAATAACTGCTAATAGTAGAATAATACACTGTCAGACAGACAACTTTACATATTGTCAATATTTTCTGGTTCAATGATTTTTGTCAGAGTTATGGCCCTTTAATGTTGGGAAGGGAAATGAAAATACACTGGAACACAATGGTTTAAAACATTGACAATAGACTTGATTTACATTGACAATGCTCCCATATTTCATTAAGGTTCAAATTACATAAAAATTTAATGTTTTTATATTCTCTACAATCTCTTGACAACTTTCACTCATAGTCATTTCTTTTGCCTGGTTACAAATAATACATAACATGAGAGGTTACACCAATTTCTTCTATTGTGATGTTCATCTAATCTTCCTTAATTTGCCTCTTTAATGTCATGTATTCTTGTTGTTTTGAAGTTTGAAATCGCCAGACCTTCTCTTAATTCATTCCAACACACCATATAATCTTAAATCTAAATGATTATCGAAAATAGACGCCACTTGAAAACGGGAATCTAACAAAATCTTGTTCTGGTAATGTAAAGTATTGTTAGTTAACAGTATTTTCTGGAATAAAAACAAACGAGCTTAAACATTCCACAAATGCATGTATATAATATATAATAGAAATAATATAGACTTTAAGAAAATAAAGATAATTTTTTATTTTACTTGCGTGTGGTCTAATTAACCTTGTTGACTGATACATATTTACAATACTTTATCAAATTATAAAATTTCAAGCAAAAAAACAACAACTTATTTTTTTGAACAGATAACATATTTGCTGAATTGACGTATTAATTCTTGATCAGTGATTTCAAAAACAAGGTATTTTAATTGAATAGAGAGTGAAATTTGAAACACGGAAAATATTGTAGATGATACTATTACTCGAATTAACGTCATATATTGTCATTATTTCAAGCATGATTAAAATTTACGCATGAAACTTTATCATTCTGTTTGTGACTCGAAGCGCCGTTTTTTTAATTTATAAGCAAGTACGGAATGAACTATCTTATTTATAAGTCTTTTAAAGAGTCAAAACAATGGGATTAAACATTTACGCCAACGCTCAATAACTGGCCTTAGTCCAATAGATAAGGCTTTAGTAAGATTGACAAAGGTCGTATTTTGATCTTGGCAGTGTGAAGAGCTGTGACCTTAATCGTGAATCGCACCCATTATCAATATCGTACATGTTTAGAAAAACATGACATAATTGACATTGGAGTTTTTTTAGACCGAAGAATGGACTGTACATGTTTTTATTGTATCAAACTGTCATGTGTATTATAATTCTGTTTAAATTTATAGTCGGAATCATGATTTTTAATGAACTCGCCAAAATTAGGATAGTTTGTAACAATAAATACAGGTTTATTTTGCAATTAGTGTATTTTAATTAATCATGATATGATAGTGATATTTAAGCGGTTATGTATAGAATATGTAGGTGTTCTGCACTTGTTAAAATAAGTGATAAATACAATGTATTGAAATGATTTATACTACAAGTATGACACATTGTTATACCAACAATTCTAATAATTTGTAACGATATATCATATTAATGTTATAGGCTTGCCTCTCAAATTGACCGATATTCTAGTAGTTATAATTGAAGTGAATTCATCTTATCATCTTTGTTCATTTCTTTCTTATGCATAAGATATTGTGAAATTTAGTAATTTTTTAGTAGAAAGTAATTATATTATATAGGTAATGATTTTGTATAATGTTTAATAGCCTACATAAACTGTTTATAATTGGAAGAATAATTGGAAACCATTAAGAAGCCAAATAAAATTTTCAGCAGCAATACCCATTTTTACTCTAGGGAAAAGATTTTATTGTGTCTATAGCTCAGTCTCAGTGTATTCTACAGATTCAGGAAACTCAAAGCCATATCATAACTGGAGCCTTAACACATACATGTCAACTTTTTTAGATGATGAAGTGGGAGATTTTTCTTCAAAAAGAGGGAGATTTTAGAATTTCAAATAAACGGAGAAGAAAGTTCTGATACCGAAAAAGGGAGATTTCTTTAATATGTGAAAATACCCCTGATATTAAGAAAAATCTTTAAAAATATGGCTGCAGAAAGTGGGAGTCTCTCGCTAAAAGTGGGAGACTCCCCTATATATGTTAACAAACATCATTTTAACTACATGTATGCTTTATAATATCAAAAAAAGTTTTTAGCTTATTTTGATATACACTTTTCACACATGCCTGACCTTTGACTTGTTCATTTTGACCTTGACCTTGATCTCAAGATTATTTTACATGCTTGGAGATTGCTTGTCTTAAAATCTATTTTAGTCTGGAAGTTTGACTATCCTAGGCTTGAAGACTTTCCAGAAGGCCAGGACTTCAAATCTGTGAGTTGGCCAATTCAACATTTTTGTAATAGCTCTTCGAATAGCCATATTATAAATGTAATAAAATAAATCCATGTCAGAATGCTTCGTATGGGCCAAGAGATAAATAGAATTGGCAGAAGTTTTCCTTCATAAACAGAAAATATTTCAAAAAATATATTAAAAATGCAACAGACTTGCCAAATTGCAGTGTTTATGATGAAAACTACCTTTGTATTCTATCGAAGACAGAAATAAGGCTTTTTAAACTGAGCCAATTTAATTTTATTGAAAAACGATTACTGAAATTACTTGGTTTAGAGATAGAGCTGTCTAATCGTATCTTTGTTTGAGATAGATTAAAATCTTGTTCTAGATTGGAAAGATTTCATTGAAGTGTTCCAAGTCCATTGAGAAAGATGTTTGAACCTGGCAGAGTTTGAAACGTGGCCAATCTTTAAATAGTAAATCGGCGACATTTGACTTGTGACTATTTTATCCTTGAGGTGGGCATAATGACAACGCATTTATGATAATGCCCGAATTTATGTTTCAGTCTATCGTTGGCAATTAAAATTGATTGTCAGCTAGCTTGATTACCTTGTATTCCAATTAGTAATTGAAAAAATGCCTATTTTCCATATTAGTCAAACTTAAGATTTGTAAAATATAGAAATATGAAACGTTCTTTCAGGTTTGAAATACATGGCACTCAGTAGTGTTTACTGAAATAGATATATCGTATTTCTAGAGCAGGATATCTATTAAACACCTATGAATTGCCTATTCATAGCTTTTGATACCTAATTATAAACCATAGATGCGATATTTTAATCGGTTAAGTTGATCAGTGATCAAGGATCAGGCATGGAGTACGAATAATCAATTATGCTGCCATTTTGCAGTCCGATTTGGCAAGTCGCAATCAAATTATAAGCAACGCACTCACCCGTTTATAAGATGTTAATCGTAGGTGTTTGACAAATCAAAATATACGGTTTGAACCCTGTTTGATATATCAGAGATACAGATCATCGATTTCAAGGTTACTTAATTGTAATTTAACTGTGCCAACAAAAAGTACAGTGTATTTCTCTACTCAACATTTACAATCACAGTGGTTGACATTTATTGTTCTGACTTTTATCAATTTTGCGGATAATAGGTGTTCAGCTTCCAACTGCATGTGTTTTATAAATCATATATATTTCTTTTCTTTTTTACTGTTTTGTTTATAAAATGAAGCTTAAAGCCTCACCATTCAAACTTGTTACCCAACACATATGTAATTTAAGGATATTGTTGATATGAAAGAAATAAATAAACACAGCAATACAATTGCTGTTGAAAACTTTACATTTTTATTTTGTTTACAAAATTAATAAAAAATATGTATTTTACAATGTATTTAAGCAGAGTTATTTCCCCTGACAACATAGACTGAAAACTGATTATGGGTAATTATAAGTTGACACTTATTGTCTGCAAAAGTTCATTTTTTAAGGAAAAGTAATTTAAGTTTCTCGTTAAAGTAATAGTAATATGAAAGCACCGTATTCACTTTTGTTAACCTTTTGTTAGACGGCCGGATGAATTATCTGTTTACATTTTATGAGACGTTCTCTAATTCTTACTTTTTTAATTTGCAAAAAAAAAAATCTTTTGGTTTGTAAAATTATGAATCCTTCATTTATTTTGACAAGGCAACTTTTCAAAACGCATGTTATAATGTGTGTGATTGTATACAGTAGGCTATAATACGAAGTTCGGTCGGCTGGCTTTATGCTCGTTAATGGACTCGAATGTTTTTATATTCAATCAACTTTACCAACCCCATATTGTTATGTTCATACACTAGCATACTCAAGTATTGTAAAGATTTCAATTTATTACTGATAATCAATCGTAAATACGTAATGAAAACGTTAGTTCTTCTATTTATCTATGACAGGCAGTATCCATTATAGATTTGATGATTTAAGACTGTCCTGTTTACAAACTTATATTACTCAATATTGAATAATTTATCATACAAAAATATTATTTCACGCTATTTAATTCAGATATTTAAATGAAAGACGTATTGAATTGAATCTTAATTCATTTCCCTTAACAAATCAATAAATTGGCAATACTATATTCATGGTGTACTACTGTGGGTATAGGGGGTTCAACAGTTTTTGTTCACAATTGAGCCTGTAGAAGATGTCTTTTAGAGGGTTTAATAAATACAAGGTATCATGAAAGAAATTTCTTGTTTCTTATTACAAATGTTAGATAAATTTTTACCGTAACGGTCTTCATTAGACCCAGTTTCCTTTAAAAAAATTAAATCTCAGATTATTTATTCTCCTAGAAAACTTGCTAAATATTCAAAAAGATTGAATTAAAAAAAAACTAGAATTTATTTAGGATAGATATATGGGAGCAGTCTAGCATCACTGACTAATAAGATTTATTATTACAAAATATTTGGTTGGTTGATTAACAAGTCTGTCTTAATGATTTAATCATGTCACTCAATGCAAGAGATACAGTTAACACCTGTGGTTTACCATTACCTTTTCATTCTTGGTTTTGAGGTTTGGAAAGGTAATGAAAAGGAAAAAGAAATCATACCATCCCTTTATTCTAAATTGTAAGAAATGACTGCAGTTATGAAAAGAAGTAGTTCAGAAGACATCTTGTGCGGTTTGAAACACAGCAGTTGTAGCTTAATCTTTTGGTAAAATGAGTTGTGACAGTTTTGCGTTGAATCGTCAATTGGTACGGCTAAAATCAGTCAGTAGGATATGAAAGAATGTATTTATTCACTCTAAAGGATTAGGAAAAACATACGATTTTGACAGTTTGTGACATCATGGAAAGATTTGCTTGACACAGTGCCTGACAGTAATCTTTATCTGTTAAATATTAAATATTATATACCCCCAAAAAAGATTGTGTCCTCTATTTCATATTTGCGGTAAAAACAGTGGACACCTGCTATGGGCAAAGAATTATTGTGGCTATTTCGATGTAAATTTATTCAACGCAAGTAGAGGTTGTGTATAGAATAAATTTGCCTTGAAATTCCGTAAACATGAGCTGAAATTAAAAGGAATGAAAGATTAAGTTAACTTACATTATGCGATTTGATTAAAGGTAACTTAAATGCATTGAGGTTTTTCATCTTTTTTAAATTCCCAAAAGAAATTGGGTCAGTGGGTCGGATGTGTAAGTGGTGCTTTTTAAATGATGGGTGTAGATCAACCAAGCATGATTTAGCATCTTATTATAGAATTGGTTAGCAAGATAAAACAGGGTAACAAAAGATAATGGTTTAAAAAATTTACTTTCAAACAATGGTTATGTACAAGTAACTTTTTTTACCTCCTTATGACCTGGTTTAAGTTGCACCATATGACCTGGTTTAAGGTGACCTTGAAAGGTCAAGGCATCTACCTGAAAGTCAGTTGATAGTGAGTTCCAATATCATCTTGAAGAAAAAGCAAGGTTGATATGTTATACAGCTTCCATACAGTCTAACCAGACTCTGCCATGTGGGCTGCTCAAATTTTTGTAGATATATTGCAATCCCAAATATTTCTAAAAAGAACAGAGCAAGCCTTTCGCATGAATTAAGTGAGGTGCAGGTAAAGTTTTGTTGTAAACAATAAGGCTGATTGAGTCACCATTCAAAACTGCAGATGCATTGACAAGATTGAAGTGTGTAACCAATCCTGGAATTACACAGAAGTTACCTTTGAAATATGATATTCATCGTAAATGGACGAAATCACCTCAGTAAAATCCATTGTTGCTTGTTTTTTTGTTAAGGCAAGTTTTTTGAATACCAATAAGAAATATCTATATATTCTTATCGGTATTCAAAAAAAACATGCCTTAACAAAAAAACAAAAAAACAAGCAACAATGGATTTTACTGAGGTTATTTCGTCCATTCACGATGAATATCATATTATCATAGCAGCTTAACCATCTGGTGCATAATTGTCTCCCTTTACATGCATTTCTTGTATTATACTGTCAATACATCTATCTGAATCATCAATCAGAATTGTACTTTAATCAAAAATGAATAATTAGAAATTCCTCATTTCAGATACGATCAACTTTAAAGCAGAATATAAAGTACCTGGTGGCTTTGCAAGAACAATCGTCAAGATGGCACCTTAGTTATGAAATATTGTCCTATAAAATCACAAAACAACCTAGCTTTGATAAAACATATAAAACTGTACTATGGCTAGACGTCTCTGCAAGGATGGGAAAATTTAGTTTAGGTTGTCATTGGCTGTTTGCTTGGTTTTACAGTGCACCAACTCAGTATAGGTCATATGGCGATGAAACCGGAAAGGTGATTTTGGCTACCCTTGGATGTTACAATCTTCAAAGCATCACCAGGGGTCAAAACCACCCCAACTGTAAAGAGCCAAGAGATGCATAGACTCCAGTTATTTGAACCCATTTAGTCACCTCAAATTGCAGCAGTATTCAAAAATTTAACATAGGAAAATTGCGGATAGGGATATTGTAAAACAAGAGTGAAAATATGCAAGGAGAGTGAATTTTGCAACCGCAGTACTGCTTGGAAGACCACTACTAGAGAATGTGAACTAGTATTGGATGATAAGAGAAAGAACTAATTTGGTTCAGTATCAAGATATTTGTAGCAGGTAATATCTAGACAAATATTTCACATAATCATTATATTGCTAGATTCTCGATGTGAAATTTTACTTGTTTGATTCCACCAGTAATTAGTCTGACAGCATCATTATTCTCCTTAAACTTTTCTTGCTTTAGGTTTGGAGCAGCATGTATTTTTCTATTGTTGATGGCGCCATTTCGGTATTTAATATAGTAAAGTCACTGGATATAACAAAGCACAATGGCAAAGTTAAGGTAGCATAGTTAAAGTGGCCTCCAAAGTCACAATGCATAAAACAACAGTTACATGTATAAGTACATCATTATTGCTGGAAACATTCAGAGTTATTTCCCTTTTTATTAGTAATCTAGGAAAGATGGTTAAGCAGACAGCCCATCAAAATATGACTAAAAATGTGTTAAAATTGGCACAAAGAAAAAAACAATCAGACAAACAAGCTCTTGGTCATTACTTTATATCATTTATTGTGTGTACTTATACAAGGGAGATTGACGTTTCCAGCATTTATTCTAAGGAAATATTATGAATTACTATATAGAATGACAGGTCATAAATAGACAATAGACTTGTTGTTATAAATTAGGTCGCTTCCCATCACGTAATGGAATATATTAGCAAATGACTTCCTCATATTTATTCAGAATTTTTGCCCTGGAAAAAAAAGCGATTTTTATTGTTCAAAATCTGAATGCAATAAACAGGCCTAGAATAAAACTAATTTTATCTGCATCTATTATAGATATATTAAATGCGGATTGTTATGTTACATCCGGGCATTTATTATATTATTGTCGTAATGACGTCTGGTTTGAAATTTTTTGTTCTGGTTTCGAAATTTCAAAATGGTAAATTGCGGTAGATTATACTAATTTTATATTCTCAACAACTCTACATAAATAGAATTTATATTATACCATCCATTTTAGGCAGTAAAATAAATTGTATGCATAATTTTGGTAACAAATTTTACAATTTTATCTACTACACCAAATAAAATGCATGCATAATTTTGGTAACATATTTTACCATTAATTTTAATCTATAGACTATACTACATCAAATGAATTGTGTAATAAGCTCTGGTATGATGTTCTCGTATCTTCCAGTATTGATATCGTTTTCAGGCTTAAATGAAATACATGTAATTTGTATGTTTCTTTGGGGTTTTTTGTGCAGCATTTTTAACACATGATTTTAAGGCCAGCTCTTAACCTGTTGAAACTGTGAGGGATTGGTCTTTGCCTCCAGTATAGAGCCAGACCAGTCTGCACTACCTTGTATTCTAACTATGCTTTATGTTGTAACATTGGCTAACTTAACTTTAAATTTTCATTTTGATCTCCCTGAAATTCAGCTATTGGACAGGTCTGAAAATGGAAGCTCAGGGCAAGTTGATTTAAAAAATTCAGCAAGTTATACAGATCAGTCTTTCTAATACTAGAAGCTTTTTGAATGGCCAGCTTATTTCTCTGGTATTTAGCCAGGCCAGGTCAGTTTACCCAACACACCTTTAGCACAGCCATGATCTCTCCAAATCAGGTGTGAAATTCATATTGAAACTCTAACAGACTGAAAAAAAAACAAAAAACATACTTATGCTAGAATAATGATAAAATTGAAAAGAAGATAAGAATGGAAAATAGGACCTATCCAAGCGCAAAAGTAACCTTGATTTTGCCAAGTTTAAGTGTGCAATTAGACTAAGCAGCACCGTAAACTACACACCTGTTCCAAAGTGAAGTGATACATAAACAGGCTGGAGGACAAGTCCCCTTTGTTTTCATTCAATATTTAAAAGTACAGACTTTGTTTAATTATTGACTACCGTGAAGACAGATATTTGCTTAATACCTATCAACAATATTTTGTATGATTAAGAAATTATAAAATCAATTTTAAGATATTGATTTCTAATAAATGTCTAATACAGCTTGATATGACGGGACTATTGCATCACAGCATGGAGGTTTATACCCCCTGCATGGAATCTATACCTGTTTTATTTACAGTTGCTAATGTATATAATGGTAGCAAAATACAATAGAACCTAAGTGTGAAAAGCTTGTTCGGTACGAAATTTGCATGTGTCAAATGCCAATTGAAATAAAAATGTGCATGACAGTTTCAAATTTGAGGGGGGAAAAATTGTTTATAAGTAACAATAGTGGTGATATGGTACATTATTGATGAAGTTATATAGTGATTTAACTGTATATTTGCTTCATTTGTAATAAATTTGGTGACACATGCCCATATGAGCTGTATGGCAGGCTATTTGTACAACATTATTAAGACGTCATTTATTACAAAAGTCTTTGTGCTGACAGAAATTTTAATTTCAGTTTCTTAGATTTAAATTAATAAGTTGTAAGAAGGCGGGTTTGTCATTTTTAATTTTAAACTCACAAAATAATTGACTCTTACATTAAAAATATGGCATGAGTTAAAGCTTAATTAAAGTCACTTAACTGAATGTTCATTGTACAAAATACACAACAGTGAAATGGTAGATTTCTTTTTAGCTCCATTTTTCAAAGAATCAAGGGCCCCAAGAGTAAATATCAGCCCTGGTTCGCCTTTCTGGTTGTCATTTGTGGAGGAGTTCTACATGCCACACCCATTTTCACAGATCAAAAGGTCAAGGTCACTGGGACCTATGATAACGAAACATAAAACTTGCGTTTAAATCAAAGATCATTGGCCAAGGAGCTTCATATATAGCATCTTGATGACTCAGAACTGCAAGACCCAGTTTTGAATTAAAAGGTCAAAGGTCAAGGTCACTGGGACCTGAAATAACAAAATGTGAAATGTTGTTAAAAGTGCAGACTTTCAAACTTTGTGTGCTACTATTGCCAAAACCATTTTCCAGTTAAAAGGTCATGGTCACTTGGACCTGTAATAACAAAACATATAACTGACCATTTAATCAATGGTAATCTATACTGATGAAGGTCAAACTTTGTAGTTAGATATCTAGATTAGATACAACTTGATGTACGCATTTTTTGGTCAAAAGGTCAAGTTCACAATGACCAATGTTAACATTTTGGATTCAATTTTTCTTTTTTTAATAAAAAAATAGAGGCTAAAGGCTTTATAATAGGTGGGATTTTTTTTTGGAGTGGGGATGGGGCATACAGATTTGCCCTGGTCCATCTGTTCCACTGTCACTCTGAACATCTCATTGATTTTGGGGGCAACAATGTCCTGTGGACACATTTCTAGTTTATGCTCTTTTTGTAATATTACTAGAAAGAAAAAAATAGCAAAAAAAGAGTTAAAAGATCTTATATAAATAGATTAATTAAAGGTGAGGACCTCATCTATTAACTTGTCCTAATATGTAACAATGGAGCTTATTTTTTTGCATACCATTAAATCAGAAAATCAAATTTATGAGCCTGTACATATTTGTTTTGGGTGAAAAATTTGCTTTTATGCTAATTTTAAGTCTGTTTTTTTCTGTTTCCTGTGACCGGGGGTCATGTCAGCAAGTTAAGAAAAATAACCTTATAAATTATTCATTAACGTATAAAAAATAGCTGATAAACAAGAAAAGTAAAGCAAGACTTCATTGCAACACTGTCCTAACTTGGTGTGTATGTTTTATAACATGCTAATATTAAAAGCTTGAATGGCAGTGATACATTTGCTCGTGATGCCAAAGCCAGCCTTCTGACCAGGCCTCCTGAATAGCTTAGTAATAATTGAATTATTACTTTTGAATGGACAGTTCTTAGAAAATCAAGGTGTGGCAACTGGCATGTTCATAATACAAATTTAGCAGAATAGAATAATGCTAAAGTTACAACATTGTTGAACCCCTCAAAATGTACATTATGTCATCTTAAACAGCATATAAAATCTTAATTTACATTGTTCAGAAAAATACAGTAATGGGATTTTGATGTTTTTTAATGAAATTGAAAAACAAAATGCTGTATAGAAATCATCATTTAAGAAAATCAGTGAAGTTTGATGGATATACCTAATTATAGAAAGCATATTTATACACACTTGAGATTTGAATAAATTAGTAATGAATTGCGCATGAATTTAAATAACCACGAAAAAAGATAGATGTTACAAAAATAGCAGTCACATGAGAGCTGTTTTATTTATATATTCCTATGATAAAGTTTGAGTGTTTGATGACAGGCTAGATGATTTCAAAGTCCTGGACTCTCGATTTTTAATATATACATGTATACTGTATAGGTTCATGACTATTTTATTATTTTTCTAAAGCTAATGATATTTGTATTACATAATGTATATGAATATACAATTTCATCAAAATGTCCTTGATGAAGTGATCTTTATTTCTACAAGCATTCACCAACTTCTCAACATGAAAGAGTTAATTGAAACAACAGTTGTGCTGAGTGTGTTTTTATTTTATTTTGTCTTCAAGTTGAATGAATGTGCATCTTATATTAAAAAAGATCAAACTTGTGAATTTGGCCAAAGACTTAATGCATGCTTTCTTTGGCATGAAGGAGAAGGTGTACCAAATACCCAACTCTGGTGCTTTGCTATGGATAAAATTGGTTTGTAAACTACAAACAAATTTAATAAATAAAAAGAAACATAGACAAACATTTTGCTTTCCTTATGAAGATTGAGAAGTGTGTGAACTTTTCAGTCATTATTATCTTCTATTGTCGTGATTTAAATACATTTATTATACATGTACCAAATGAAACTTACATCTTTAAGTGTTTTTCTAAGTGTATTTCCTCTTCAGATGCTTTTGTTTTCTTATAAATGTTAATATTTTACTCATAATTTTGAAGTGGTTAGACAAAGAAAATTGAAGAATAATCACTAAGTACTTGGTTAGTCATAGTTAAAGTTGTCTAAAGAAATCAGGAAAATCAGTGCCCACACACTCGACAATGGACACTTGACCCCCTTTAAGGTCATAATGCTGTGGACATTGGACATCTAAAAATATCTCTGAATATTCTAAATATTTTTTTCTTGTGATAAGATGTTGATTAAGTGATAATTATTCAGGATTTATTGACCAAGAGACCGCACTTCTTATAGATGTATGTATTCTCCTCAGATGGCACCAGAATCTGTCCTGCGCAAGAATCGGTACCGAACTTAGTTAGTGTATATTTGCTTTAATCAAAAAAAAATAGATGTCTACTCATTTGCTTTCATTTATGACTGATGTCTGTCATATTTGGTTAGTAAAATACTTTGGATAGTCATCTAACATTATTTTGATGGAGTTAAAGGTCCATTGGGTCAAGATCAAACACCCCTGTGTCTAGAAATAGATTTTTACACAGCATTCATTCCTTTAATGATGTAAATCATATTTGATTGTTACATACCTTATTATAGTCCTCAAACATTTGGTGAGTCAGGAGTCACTTGGAACAAGGACAAGGTCTATAGTTCTAAAAATAGACTTTTACATTTTTGCTTTCATTTTTAATTTTCATAACTTTAAATTACCTCTAACTGTGTTTAGTAGAAGTCAAGGTTTTTGTTTGTTTGTTTGTTTGTTTTGTTTTTTTATGTCACATCGACACAGTATAGGTCATATCAGAAGTCAAGGTCATTGATGCTATAAATAGATTTTTACATATTTCGCATGATAATATATTGACAAATGTGCATTTTTTTGGGAGAATAATCCATAGCATTTAGTAATATGTTAGGGAAACTTACGGTATGTGTGTATGACTATAAATATATATATATTTATAGATTAAGATTCAGTACAAATTCTCAGAAATAAATCAATATTGAGTTCTTGGAAATAAATCAATTTAAAGTGATATCTGATTAATACTTATAAAAATCTTAATGAATATTTAAAAATAAACAAAAAAGAATTAGTATCCCATTGAAAAGAACAATAAGAATTTTAAGAAAACTATTTTTACTCAAGTGATAAAATGCATTCATTCACTTACAATAATGACTAATACACTGTTCATGGAATCAGAACTAAATTAAAACTTAAAACATATTAAGAATAGAGCATTAAATGTGATTGGGCATGATGACCAATCAGTTTTTTTAGTTTAATATTATATCTTAATTGTATTTTAACAATAGTATTCAACAACCATAGAGTACTGTTTTAGTGTATATGATTATAAATTTGGTTGTGGCCAGACACACTGGACACTGGCCAGACATTTATAATTGCTGGTTTCATATCAATTAACATCCACAATTAATCATATCAAATTATTTATACTAGATAATTACCACTTAATTGAGAAGAACCTGGCATTAATTCCATGCATATAATTGTGTTTCATGGATACTCTATGCTTGTCAAGGTATAATAAAAGTAGGTGTCAGCTTTTGGCATGCTCTTGTAAAAACACCAGGTTGCTATGGTTTAGAGCAATTATAATGGCATTTATTTTACCTGCAGTTTTTTTGAATGGAAAGGAATTTTAGTCATTTATGGATATGCAAAAATATTATAGTTGTCACATTGTTTCACAGTTTATGTCTAAAAGTGACAATTAAAAAGACTATGCCATCTTTTTTTACTAGTAATGGCAGATGTAAATAAAGGGCCTATTGTATAAATGTGTTACTCTTCAGCATGGAGGTCAAAAAGCCATTGTGAAAAATATATTTCACCTTAATTGTTTACTTATAATTGTTTGGTGTGAAATGACTGCTCCCTTGAGTGGTTGAGTGGATTACATCAACTGGGGGACATGTTATAATAGGGAGAAGTTGTTGTATGTGTGAAAGGTTAATTAGAGTAAAAATACCAATGATTGGTCCCTTCACATGCCAATAAGTGATCCTGAAAAGAATTTGATAGATTTCAAGAAATATTTCAATTGCCAAAAATTGAGGCCAGTTTTGTGTGAAGAAAGAGTAGATAAAGTTAAACAATAACAGCAACAAAAACAACAACAGATTAAAACACCATAAAAAACACAATGTATATAAACATCAGATAATTATCCTGGCTTAAATTAAGATTAAATGATTTTAATATTTTAATACCTAATGATGTATTGTTATTTTTGATACATGTCACCACCAAGCTATGGAAAGATTAAATTCTGTAAATGTGACTTGTTTTCCCAAGAATCAAAAAGTATTGGAGACATTGGTCTTGTTCGACATTTTATATTTACTCTTATGCCATTCTTTAATAACCATTTTTGAGAGAAAATTTAATAACCCTCTTGCATTTTTTTGGTCTGAAAATTGCAAATGTATAAGAATTGATGCAGAGGGACCCCCCCCCCCCCCAAAAAAAAAAAAAAAAAAAAGAATTATATAAGGCTCTGGTAAATTTACCTCAGCAGGAATGTTAAGTAAATTAAATCTAAATCAACTACACACACCTACACCACTGCTACTGTTTCATTTAAAATAATCTACAGACTAGCATTCCTTATCCAGTTAACTAGTCTGTAAAATTTGTTTTCCATTCATTCAGAATTTTTAATCAATGATACAGACTCAGCCATTATTTATGTGGAGCCAGAATTAACTAATCAGTTAATCTTATCTTAATTCAATACCATGGATACTGGAAATTAACCTTGGTCTGTAATTGAAACTTCTTCATCTCTTTTGTTTTCAAATTTTTTAAGAGATTTGTTGAAATATAATTTCCATACACATGCTTGATGAATGTCCAAAAAAAAAAGTTTGTCTGCAACTGATACTTTTTATCAGGTAGGTTCCATAAAGTATGCAATAGAACAAAAGATAAATTTCTTTGAAAATAGATTTTATGAGGGGGGAAATGATTGATTATGCTTTATGTTTTATATAAATTATGATAAATGAATGAAACCTGGGTAAACTTATCGAACTGAAACCATAGGTGATTTATCAAAGACTATTTGTGTAACTGGGAATTTGAAATTCAAGTACTATTATATGAATAGTATAATATTATATTAAAAAAAAGCCTGGTGTATGACCAACATGCCCAAGACTGCCTTTTGCCACTGCATGGAGATTCTGTCAGTATTTTGATACTTAAAATCCCATTTAGATATATAATTAACCCATGCATGACCTGCTGAATTTCTTAAATGAACTTGTCCACCTTCCATTTTTTTGGAACTGTCCATTGTAAGTCTAGGGTATCAAGATGATAATTTCAGCTGAGTGCTTTGTCAGAATGCCCTTAATGTGCAGCCTGGCCTGGCTGACTAGTTTAATTGTAGCAAAGGTAAATTATCAGTATTGAGGGTTAATTAGATTGTGCCAAAGTTCATAAGCACATTAAGGACAGTTCTAATCGACAGAAGATATGATCATTTATTCATTTATTTTGGCAGCAACACCTTACTTGATACATATAATGGTCTCATTGGCCTCCCATGCATCAAAAATTCAAAATAGTAAACATCACAAAAATCGACTTGCATACATATTTAGTATCATTCAGAGAATTACTGAATTCAAAATTTATAGGTCACCTTTTGGCAGATAATAACCTTTAAGGACATGAATGGTGACATGTCCAGGGTTCGTACTGTTAGTGCCTGAAAGGGCAAATGGACCCTCATTAAGCATAGAATACCCAACACTTTTTGACAAAATCAGAGAGGTATTTATAATGGTGAAAATGATAACTATTATTGTTGATATATAAATAAAAATGTATTGGTTTCATAAAAAAATGTCCTATAATTGCCAATTATCTTATATACCATAAAAGAGCTGCTTGTACTAAATTTTCTAAATTGTATATTCGGTAAATCTTTAATCAGACAAAACTTGAGTTCCCTTTCATACATATACGTGGTGATGTCACTGCAACAAACAAAAAAATAAGGAAATAAATTAAAGCATTAATTTCCAATTGAGAAAAAAAAGTTCATGGGGATTTTCACAACGTAATGAAAATATGCATTTCAAATTAGGGCTTTTCTACACCAGTGCTTTACATTCATTCATTCTGCATTTGTCGAAATGTTTTTGTGCTGATTCAATGTTAGATAAACATGGCAAACTCATTATAGAAGATGAGGAAACCCGATATTTCGCTCCTTTTGGAGCCAGTCTCCTTTTCAGAAATTGAATTAAAATTTGCATTTCCTTAATGAAATGGATGCTGAAATTTATTATGAAATGAAACACCATGGGAAAAATTTCTTAATCTTTAGAAATTTTGGAATTTAGTTGTTCGGTGTTTTGGGTATTCATTTATCAACTTTGAACTGTACTTTGTGTAGATAAATCTTGAGTTGCAGTTCAAATAAAGCTTGTGCAGGATGTGAGATGGCCTTCTTTATTTGGATAACATGTTTTTATTTTCAAACATTTGAATACTTTCTTCTGTAATTACAAACTTGTTTTTCATCATCGTATAACGCTATATTTTTTTCAAAAAGAGCTTTTCTTATTCATTCATATTTTTGTTTATATTACACAGCTTCAATTTGATCGTTTGATATCTTTTCAGGTCTATTATTCCTGTGGTACTCCTTAACTGCGTGACGAACAATAGAACCGGAAACCGGTATCATGACACAGTGCTCGATATCATAGACAACCTTGTTTACATTTATGATTGTTTGCGATTAATGACAAAATATGTATATATAGAAACAGACACTCGAGAAGTGATCAGTCAGTTTCATCAAAATAGAGGGTTTGGTCGTAAGCGCGGGCCAAGATAAAAATCTCCAATATATTGTAAGGGGCAAGCGAAGCAAGTAAAAAAAGTACACGAGGGATGATATTAGAGTAAATACATTTGTTTACATAACGTCTAAACAATTATTGTTTAGCAGCTTTTGAAGAAAACTGTTTCGAAAACGTTTAGAAATTATTGCACTTAAATGCTGTATTTTATTTTATTTGTATGATTTAATTTCCTGCCTGGTAAAATTGGGAGAGATAACATTTTTATTATAATAGCTTTGGGCTTGTCAGTTTGCCTATACAGAGTCAGTGAAGAAGAAATTATATTTCATCGCACATGGTTGCGATATTATATTTATAGAAAAGCCATGAATATATTTTGTACGTTAATGTAATTTATTTCATATTTTTGCTGTTATTATCTTATCTCGAATTGCTTTGACTATGAGTAAAATAACATGTAGCTTGACTAATTTTTTTTCCATTAATTTTGCTTAAAATTACTTATGAAAATCATAACCGTAGTACATTAAACGCTTCATAAAATTATGAACTGACTTTTAAAAAGGAAAAATGATATAATTTTTACTATCTGATGTAAAAGATATGAAATTTTACATATAAATGTATGTATAGCTGTAAATGAATTTATATACATGTATATATAATGTGATTTTCGTGTTTTCACCAAGATCTTAGTTTAATGATATATCGTTCTTCTTGTACTTTTCATATGTTAGAAGATGCAATCTAGTGAAGTGATATATTGGTTTTAAGATGTGCTAATGAGATACTTAAAGACATCCTTCATATTATTTAAATTTTTGTACATAAATGACATTTTTAAAAAATTCAACGTTACTCCGGATACAGTTAATGTCAGGCGCAAGGTAACATTAAGGGGTTGAAAGCAACACAGAAGTTACTCAAACTAACTGCCAAGGTACTGAAACATAAGCTCTGTGTTAAAGCCTTCAATGTATGAGAAAAGTTACTAATTGGTAAAATAAACAATTTTTTGAAAAATTTTCAGTTTTTTGTTGTTGATATTTTGAGTTCGAAATGATTGTATGAAATGTGTTTCTCAGGAACAGTGACCTAATCATTGTTTAAGACAGTCGCAAGCCTGAGACTCACCCTAAGGAGTGTTGGTTGGAGCCTTACTCTGGTTTTCAGACTATGTTCCATCATAACTGACAATAAAAGCGCACAGTCCTGGGCACCACGCATAAAGAGTATTCTAAATAAGACACAAGCCTCCTTCTCAAAATCAAGCTAAAAAAATTTTTGTTTGTAAATGATGTTAGAGATAAAAAAAATATGTTTACCAGTATATTCACATCAGCTGCATTTTTTGATTGATAATATAGTAATCATTAATTAAACACTTCCTTATTATGACTGAGTTTGTCAAAATTTGAATCAAATGATAATATATTATCTGCAGGTGTTAATATATTTCTTAATGTACATGTAAATGTATGTGTAACATTTGGAACTACCTTTGTTTCATCAAGAGCATTATAGATCAGAAACATTTATTACATTCAGGTATAAAGCTACATGTATATAGATATACTTTGCCATTTGTACTTTGAAAACTGTGTTCTTTTTTTATTTGGACAGATGCATGTATAGTCAAGGGAAACTAAGATACTAGTAGTTACTTTTTTGGCCTTTTTTTTTTTTGATATTTAAGAAGCTTTTGTTATTGTGTTTTGTTTTTTAAGGGAGACGCCAATATATATCCGGTTTATGGAGAAATGATAGCTAAATTTCCAATTGTATTATAGCAGGTAAGCATTTTTACAAATACCATTCCTATTTTAAGCAAACAAACCAAAAAAAACAGGTTTATGTTGCACAGTTTATTAAAAAAGAAATCAGCTAATGTAGTATCTAATTGAATCAAATCAAACCATGTAACTTTTTTTCAAAACATATATTTTCCACTTATATAGAGTTGACAGTTGTTGCTTTTTTCCCATTCTGTTAAAATTTTATAACAGTTTATGTTGAAAAGCATCACCTAATTTAAGAAGCAGGGGTCTACAAATTTTCTGGTGGGTCTTAAATAGAGATTTGACTTTTGAGAAGAAATTTTTGAATGAACAAATTACAATATTGTTTTTTAAATGGAAATTGATGAAAATGAAATGTTGAGTTATTCATTAATTATACATATTTTCTTGGATTTGTTTTTGCCTTAGTTTCATTATATTTACTAATTAGGTTATGACCGCATATTTTTCTTTACCATTAATTAATTTAATTTTTTATTATCACAAGTACGAAAACAGAAAAATATACAAACATTTCTTCGGAAAACCGCAATGACGGTGAAAAAAAATTACCCACATGATGTTTTTTAGTATTTTGGTGATTATGATGGCGTTGGTGTTAAAGCCGCGTAATGATGATTTATCACCCAATAAGTTATAACATAGTGATTGCCTGGTGGCATACATAGATATAAACATGTTTATACGTCTTTGGATGGCCCAGTTGATTTGTACATGAGGTCACATTTAAACGATCGTAAATCTGTCGTCCACATGCCTTCTTCATGTGAACCGGTGAAGATATAAAGGAAAAAGTAAAGATGGCCTGTCCAAATTTTATCACCAATATTAATAATATATGAATGAAGAGCTGTGATCTGCTGTGCATATATTGTTATTTATAATAGCGAGAATCACTCTTCATAAATAATCTAGGCTAATAATTGTCAGTATGTATGGTCACAACATATATTTATATATAATTACGCATTCTTTTCCTCGACACTTAAGTATTATATATGAGGCTGAGTAGAGACATTTTAGTATGGCATACATCATAACTTTAAGTTATGTCTCTGTGAGACTAAAATGCACAATGTTAATTAAAATAACATTCAACTCATGTAACATTCAGCATATAAAGTCGTATTTTTGGAAGGAAAAAAAATATCCCATGTAAGTCTAAATAGTAAGTTTTCTCAAGTACCATTACGCTCCCTTTGCAGCTCAGTGAATATACTTACAAAAAGTTAACGTAAGAAATTGAATGATAGTGAAACGTTCAGCCGATGCGCAGGAGGAAAGTAGCAAGAGGCTGTTAAATTTATTAAATGGAATTGTTCAGAAATTTTTTAAATGGAATTGTTCAGCTTCCAGTTTTGGAACTGACCATTTTTATCAATTTAGAATATTACAAGATGAAAACTGTATAGAGTAGGGACAGCCTGCACTTCTCAAATAGTAATAAAGAGACTTGGGGCCAGCCTCGGCATGATGTCCAACTGTATAAAGAGGCTCGGACCAGATTGTATGGATGTCATTTGTTGCTCTTTACTGAGTGGCAAAGGCTTTAAATCACATTCAGCTCCAGCAGTGTATGGGCTGAAATTTACTTTTACAGTAATAAGGTACATTGTATATACTGTCAGGTAATTTTGCTGGTGGTTTTTCCTCCATCTTATGACAGATCATTATTAAAATGTTTATATTTTGACATGAAGTTGTTAAATATCTTCATATAACTGAGACAATCTTTTTTATAGAAGTGGGTCACTTTTTATTTAGTGAAAAAGGTCAAGAGGGCAATTATGATAAAGAACTTAATAATTCACTATGTTGTTCTGTTATTGTTCTAAAAAGCTGCTCTATTCAGTATACAAAATTAAATTTTAAAAAAGAAAGCATTCTATGTCCCATTGACCAATGTTATTTATTTATCTAAGATCTAATCACTCTTCTCAAAGTTTCAATAATGGGCAATGTTCTGTTTCAGAAACTTAAATATCAAAGTAAGTTAATTAAGCAGCCAGCAGCAAACAATAGTCTCCGTTAAGACAGCCATGACATATGATAAGATAGCTATGAGGTATGGTAAGATAGCTATGAAGTATTGCAAGACAGCTATGAGGTATGGTAGGATAGCTATGAGGTATGGTAAGATAGCTATTAGATATGGTAAGATAGCTATGAAGTATTGCAAGACAGCTAAGAGGTATGGTAGGATAGCTATGAGTTATGGTTAGATAGCTATGAAGTATGGCAAGATAGCTATGAAGTATGGCAAGACAGCTATTAGGTATGGCAAGACAGCTATTAGGTATGGTAGGATAGCTTTGAGGTATGGTAAGATAGCTATGAGATATGGTAAGATAAATATGAGGTATGGCAAGACAGGTATGAGGTATGGTAAAATAGCTATGAAGTATTGCAAGACAGCTATGAGGTATGGCAAGACAGCTATGAGGTATGATAAGATAGCTATGAGGTATGGCAAGACAGGTATGAGGTATGGTAAAATAGCTATGAGGTATGGTAAGACAGCTACGAGGTATGGCAAGACAGCTTTGTCAGTTATGGTAAGATAGAGATGAGGTATGGTAAAATAGCTATGAGGTATGGCAAGATAGCTATGAGGTATGGCAAGACAGCTATAAGTTATGGTAAGACAGCTGTGAGGTACAGTCTTAGGTAAGATAGTTATGAGGTATGGTCTCAGTTAAGACAGCTATGAGGTACAGTCTTAGGTAAGATAGCTATGTAACAGTCTCTGTTAAGACAGGTGTGAGGTACAGTACAACTAAGTTAAAGTAGCTATGAGGTACAGTCTCTGGTAAGACAGCTATGAGGTACATCTAGGGTAAGACAGCTATGAGGTTTAGTCTTAGATAAGACATCTATGAGGTGCAGTCTCAGGTAAGACAGCTATGAGGTGCAGTCTCAGTTCAGACAGATATGAGGTATAGTCTTGGGTCAGACAGGTATGAGGTATAGTCCTGAGTAGGACAGCTATAAGTAACAGTCCTGGGTACTAGTTTTTTTGTCTCATACTGGTGGATTTTATAACTAAAATTTTATGATAGCTAGGATACAGTCAACTCTAACTTAGAATAAAGTAATAAAGACAGCTGAGAATCAAGCAAAAAGTGTATGAGAAGCTTTTTCAAGGTTTCCATGGTCCTTCCCCCCAACCATCCCCCAACTATTCCTATTGCATCCTGTATAACCATAATGTATATGACCACCCTTGGTGGTTTCTTTACATACATGTATACACTCACAATTTATTATAAGAGGCCAATAATTTTCACTTTTATTAATCATTTATGGGAGAGAATATTGATAGTAAATGTCATATAAATAATAACTTTTTTTGAATTTATCTTGTCATAATCTCACTTTTTTGTACAAGAAGTATGCAAATTTATTTATCTGACAAAATTCTGAAATACACCTATACAGCTATATCTCCTAACATTAATTTTTTTGCATATTAATTCTATACAAAAGTGGATGCTTATCATCATTACTTAGTGTCATACTTCATAAACTTTTAGACTTATAGTTTAAAATAATAAAAAAAACACTACATATTCATTGAGTTACTTAGAAAAAAAATAAAATAGAAAAGTACATTATGATATTCATCACTTTTTTGGAGGGAAATTTTTTTAAAGATTTTCTTTTTTTT